GTTGTGTGTGTATGAGAAACCCCCTCCCCTCCAGTTTAGACTATCGCTTGTACTAAAAAAAAGATAGATCACAATGTAACTAGGAAAATGATGAAAACAAATCCTATCGTGATTTTTGATGGATCAAATAGGTAAAACGTAGAAACTAGTCTATATTCAGTTACTTTAGAAGCTTAATTATAGAAAACCTATTTTCACTTCTACCCATCTACCTTGTAGACAAAAGAGAAAATTTACTTTGTTTTTACCTTGTAGACAAAAGAGACAATTTACTTTGTTTTCTGGCTTTTCTTCTTTGCCGGAGCAGCCGTACCCCATTCTATAGAATTTTTTGAATGGAAAATTGTGGCTTTTTGATAATTTAAAATAAAGACAAGCAAAAAAGAATGGAGTCCTTCTATAGTGAGAGTGCCATATATGGACCCTAGATACTGACCTTCATATTAGCCACATGATTCCTTTGAATAGTAACTTCACTTAAGTTTAATGAAATGATCATGTGACTACTATGAAGGTCACTATAGAATTTCGCAAAAAGAATGAGTGCCTCCGGTGAGGAAGGGCTACTCATAGCAACATAGCCCCCAAGAAGGTAAACAAAAGCCCTAGAAGCTGCCAGGTAGCCCTAACTACTTGCATACAATGGCTTGGGCCACTTGCCAAATACATTAGCACAAACACTTATGGACCAATGATAACTAGACTCTGTTCATAAGAATTGGAGAATCCTACCACTATCATAGCAGCCATTCGACTTGCACTCATTCCTCAACACAATTTACTCACAATTTCTTCTCATGCATATCATGCCAAAATAAAGCAGCGTATTGAATTTTCTGCACATCAAGCAGAAACAATCTAATAATTTTCAAGCCAGGTAGAATTTCACTGAACCAAGTTCGACTTTGCAACTTCTGATACACAACATAAATACTACCATCAAGACAAAAATCAATGATCGCTATTTCGAAACCATGTTAGACCAGAAGTTGATTGCGTGCTGTTTTAGAGATTAGCTGTTGGCATCGCAAGTCCACTAGCGGTCCATAATCCTAACACTATCCTTTAGAAACAATCTGAAGGACTGAATTGAAATAGTGCCTATTACTAGCTTCAATAATTCAGATCCCAAGCATGGGTGAACCGACTCAAGTTTCATCTTCACCTTCTGAAAGCAAGCAATCTTGTATTTGTTCCCTGAAAGAAAACATAAAGCAATAGGGAAAAGGCTGAGTTACGATTGTAGGTTTCTCACTCTCTTGATTTTATTTCTCTTTGGCTACACAAAAGATACAGATAATTGAATCAACCATACATGATCAAAAGAGGTCAGTCAAATGTTTTGTACATATTCGCAAAACACAAATGCAACTATTCAATGGTAGACTGGCATCCAGATGGCATCCTCTAGAGAATGCCAATTCCATAAGTTTCTGATAATCTTGAAATTTCGGTTTGAAGTTTTGTGGTACAAAATGACAGAGACATAATCAACTTTAAGTTCATCTAGTTGTCCTATAGTTTTCTTCATTTTGAGTTTTAACACATCAAGTGCATGTGCTCAATTAAATCCACAGCCAGAACAAGGTTTCTTCAGAGCTTCTAAGGAATTTTGAAAATCAAAGCCTGCAGGTAAACATCAGACATGATTAATAAGTGTAGTATTCTCACCTGAGGGCACTGTAATGGTCAAGGTTGTCATGCTTTGCTCGGGCAAACAGTTGCTCAGGTAAAAGAGTATACAACTCATTTACTGATGAGGGGTCTTGGGGAAGTATTTGGAACTGGCAGCTTGAACAGCAAACAGAACTTGTTTTGTGACTCTCCAGGTTCTTCAAACTTAGCAAGTCAGATCTGCTGAGTGGGCTATTGCAGATAAAGCAGAACGACTCAGAGGAAAAAGATTCATTAGATTTAAGGTTATATCTCTTCTGACGCCTTCGAGTTGCCAAAAGAACATTAGAGTCATCAATCTCTTCAATTTTGTTGAAATGAAATGGGATAAGCTTTCCAGCTGTTCTCATAATTGTGCACTCTCGAGAAGGATTTTCTTCCTGGAAAACAAAAGTTCAACCTGACTTGCCCATCAAGTTCTTTATATATGTGTTTAACCAAAGGTGATTACTTGTGGAGTAAGAATGGTATTGATACATGCTTTTGTTCTCAAGTCTATTTGAAAGAAACTTCAAGGTAAAACTACTGCCTCTAATATACGTGTTTCTAACTAAAGGAAAATTTACTTTTGCCGTAAGACTACATTTATGCAAAAAGCATGTTGTTTTGAAACGTTGCACAATTTTAACCTTTAAAACTTACCTTATCAACTTTTGGTGATGCCTTTTTCAAATTGCATCCACATAAGACTACAATTAGCTAAACAATCAGCAACCCTTAATTGTGTACCCTCCCATCTTGTTGAAGAACAAAGCAATAATTGCTCTTCAAGTGCATACTTAACTTTACTAGTGAAGTTATTCTTAGCAAAAGCTGATCTCCTAGGCTGCTCTCTAACAAATATTTTCGATCAGTCATAAATGATAAGAGAAACTGGGCCCACTTTGTACCTGCAAAAGTGTCACGAATGATGAGACCAAGCCATTTATGCCAGTGCAAGGACTTCTAATCAACTCTACAGTTTTTAGACTGCCCTGGCAAGATGAGAGATCAGACATAATTCAGTAAGGAAAAAAAAATTCTCTATGAAGCTAAACCAAAATGGCATAAATTACAAACCCATCAAGGCGGCAAAGCATGGTCAGCTCTTTGGCAAGACAATCACGAAGGGGAAGCACAACTGGGATCTCCCACCTTGCATCAACATACTGTACATCGGCTGGTAAAGAATATCCTTGGCCCTGTTAAAATCAAGTACAAATAAGATATATCAAAATGCCTTTCAAGCTTCAACATAAATTTGAGAAAATACACCATTGATACCAATGGTCTTTCATTCCACAAATCATGTGACCTTCCTACAGAAGTCGGACTAAAATTTGAATCAAATGCAATAGTGGAAAATTCAAGAAACCATGAAGAACATGGTTTCCACGGAAAAAAGGTATCATATAAAGGAGTATATTGCTACATTACTGTCACAAAATCTATTATCTGAGATGATATTTTTCTAGGTTCATTGATATAAACTGAGAGTTACTCATAAATATTGTTTGAATGAAGAGGAGAAATCAGTTACAGTTTTTTTTTTTTTTTTTTTTGGGTCTGAAAATCAGTTACAGCTTCGACATCAGAGAAGATGAAATAATCTCTAAATAACAACACCTTTCTAGAGTGTTAAGTGCAACTGATATTCCACAAGACAGAGTCACAAGTGTATGTAACACAATTGCATGAAGCAAAACCTAGATTCCAGTGAAAAGGATTAATGTAACCAAACACCAGTAATTAGCCAGGTATCTAATTGATCCATGTACAGGATTACCAGTTATTATCGGTTTAAAAGCCGATTTCTTGGGACAAAACTATCTCTCAAATCAAATGCAGTCAAGGCAATGTATATTATAATCCACAACATTCATTACAAACATCATGAATTAGTAAAGAATCTAATACATTCACTAGAGACAGTAAGCAGTTTTATCTTCAGGGAAATGAGCATTCAACTTAAGACACTTAAGAAAAAACCTTGACAGTGGCTGAAAGAACATGGCAGGCAATCCTCGACACGCATGACCCCAGTAGAAGTCTGTTGTATCCATTTTGAGAGGCAACCTGCACCAAAAACAGAACATTCTGCATAAATTAATTTTGCTGCCCTTAATTGTATGTTTTGACTTGAAATATATATATCAAGATCTGAACCTTTTGCAAGGCCAACATCCGTAGATGTAATAAAAGATCTTCTCTCCCAGTGGCATCACTAACAGCATCCAGTAACTTCTTTAATCTCACCCTTCCATCACCAGAATCTGAAGAGTAGACACTTTCAATAGGTACAATATACAACTCTTTTGATGGCGGGGCTAGATTTTCCACTATCAATCTAACGTCTCCAATTACTTTGTCGGTTTCATTAGACGGGACAGAGTAAACAGAACTCTCATCAACAAATGCAACTCCAACACCGAAAACTGGCAACGATCTATCCCTACATGCATCAAAATTCTTCTGCGCTTTACTATGCATCTCATGTACAAACTGCAAAGCAACCCTGAAACCAAAATAACATTTTTTTTCCATATTTCAAAAAATCTCAAGTCCGAAATTTACATACAACAACGTTTCAGTAGATATGGCACACAGTATAACAACAAATATATCTTTTAAATTGCGGAAAGGCACTTTCTAACATTCTATAATCCACCTTATGCACAAAATTCATTACACATACATAGAATTCGACTCATTTCAGAAAGAGGGTATCTATAAATTGATCATATTTCTTCGTTCTCTTACTACATGAAGCACAATTTGTGATTAAAATCGAATCAAATGAGGAGTGATCGAGAGACGGACCTGGAAGACGGGCCACCAGAGAAGGCAACGAGGACATTATCAGTAGGAGCAATCATGGCGTTGGAGTTCACAGCGAACCTGAACTTCCCGAAGAGATTGCCACGGAAGCAATCGATGCAAAAGCGTGCATCGTCACCACCGTCGCTATTGGAAGAGATGGGTTTGTTGGCCTTGCACTTCAGACACAAACCACTGTTGCTGTTGTTGTTGTTGCTGCTGCTAATATTAGCAGCAAATGAATTGGTATTGTTGTTGTCTTTAACATCTTCTTCTTCTTCTTGCTGGGTTTTGTAGCAATTTGACTGGCAAGCTGAAGCACTGCACGCCATGCTTATTTCTCCCTCCCTCTCTCAGCTGAGCACAAGAGCGTAGTAGGGTTTTGGTTCTAAGAATTTTTCAACTTGGGAGACACAAAAGACAAAGATAACGGGTCATGGCAGGTATGGGTTATAAAAGCCCGTACCTCAAACGGGTATGGTCCTATAAAACCTAACCCATTTATTTGACCCGCCCACACCCTTTTTGTTTATTTTCTGTTTCTCAGTCTCTCTCTCTCTCTCAACTTCGAAGCTTCCACAGGTATGATCATGCTGCCTGTCTCTCTCTTTGTTTTCTGAATATCTCATACTTCAATTCAAGCAGAGAAACACATGTGCAATGTCTGCTACACCACATTGAAGCTTTTATTTCTGTTTTCCTGTTTTTTTCCTCTAATTTTTTTCGTGGGTTGTTAGGAAAGGAAACGTTTTTTGGGTTTGCCGTCTTTTCTAAAATCATTGCTTTTAATGAAAACAATCAATGACTGTGAATAAGCGCTGGTGTGTGGTTTCTGTGTTCTTTTCTTCCCCTGGGAAAAAAAAAATAGCACATCTCCCATTTGTAATAAGCAGGGGCTTCAAATTCGTCACTAGGGGTGTGGGGGCAAGGTATTATTTACGAGCTGGAAGCTTGCAACTAGTTTTGCATTGCTGGGTTTTTCTCCTTTTTGTGAAATAGAAAAAAGGGGATTATCAATTTTAGTCCTTTCTTCTCCGCCTGAATATTCAATCCTGAAGTTAAGTGTTGTGGTAAACATTCTTGTATCCAATATGGTTGTTAATGCAGGCGTCTCTTAAATCTCAAACTAAAGTTTGTATGGATAAGCAGTAGTCGCTGTATATTGAAATGCAATTCATATCTTTGTGGTTGAACTGTTGATTTCGTTTTATGTTGAAAGCATGCATCTTTACTCTGTAGAGCAAGACACATCGTTAGAAAGCTAAAAAAGAGAAGAGAATGGTGTTGCCAGATGCTTCTGGGGATGTGCTGTCAGAAATGGACGTGGATGCTTTCAGACGCCTGTTTCCTCTTCGTTTTTTTGAGACTCATCTTGTTAAATCTACACGACCTGATGGCAGGTCACTAGCCGAAGCTAGAGAGACTTCTTCAGCCCTTGGTTAGCTAAAGCCTGAACTAGAATCAATAATATGGAATTCTCCATTCTTCATTTAGTTAGTTTTAACTTTGTTTATGCAACTATGAATTTTAACTTTATTTAGCCATGTAACCTGAACGTTTTTTCGTTTTTATGTAGGGGCTGTTGCATCTGCTGATGGTTCAGCATTAGTAAAGATTGGTTCAACTGTAATTGCTTATCTCTATTTCACCATGTGTCTTTTACGTCTATAAAATAGATATACGGTCTTGTAACTGATGAGGTTTTCTTGGGTTTAGAGAATGTTGGCTGCTATAAAAATGGAGGTCATGACCCCTTCAAAAGAGTCACCGGATGAGGGTTGCATAGGTTTGACTTGCACTACTTGATAAATTTCTATTGCTTCTTTCAACTATATGATCTTCTCTTTTATTTAACTGGCTTTCCACACTTCGAATTTTTCAATTTTCAGCAATTGATTTCCACATGCCTCCAATTTGTTCCCCAACTGTTAGGCCTGGCAGGCCAGCTGAGGCAGCACCTGTGGTGTCGAAGCAGTTATCGGACACTATTTTAAGGCAAGTTAAATGTCTATCTTGTTGTTCTTTGTTTCTCAGTTCTACATGAAGTTTCTTTAGTTGAATTTGTCAGTTTTGTTAGTTCTATCCACATTAGTATATCATAGATGGTTTAGTTGAGTTCCAATTCTTATTGTTTGTAGGACTTTTTTGTTTAGTAACAGTTCAACTGTCTTATCTATTATGCTCTAGTACATAATAGCATTCACTCGAGCCCATACACTTATAAAACAACTCATCTTACTAAAGTTGCTCTACTCGTGAGGATCCCAACTAACATTTTGAAAGGAACCTTGTATTCAGAAATCAACTTTTCCACTTTTCTTTTTGGTGGACACTGGCTTTAGTTATATTGCTTTCCGTATTTGAACCCAGAAGCGTTTTATGTTGGTGTCGATATCTTTATATGGTGAAAACTCTCATCAAAGTTGGCTACTTGCCCTATTTAAAGTTGATGCTTCATTTGATGTTTTCAGTTTGGGAAATTACCACTTATCTTGGTTGTTGCAGTTGTGGCATGATTAATTTGAAGGAGTTATGCTTGATCAGCGGAAAGGCTGCTTGGATGGCCTACCTGGTAATTACTTGGAAACTTGGAAAATTCATAGGTGTCAGTGCCTATGGCAATCTTTTTTAGTATGTTTTTTTTCACAGGGATCGCTTTTGGTGAATAGTAAAGAGGGGTCTCATTATTGGGGGACTACACAATGTGGTTCAATGATCCAAACCGTCTAGTTTATAGATCCCAATATAAGAATAATCCCTGCAAAAAATCAGCAAAGTCGGAACCATTTGATCATCATTGTCATCATAGATATTTGTTGTTATATTGGAAACTTTGTGTTTGTCAATTTTTTGTGACTAAATGATTTCCAATTTCGGTGTTTTTTTTATAAAGATTATCTTTAAATGAGGTCATAAAATGGTCTGGATTATCGAATTGTATTGATGGTTGCACCCACCTGGGATCCTTTTTGGTGAATAGTAAAAAAGGATCCCTCTTAAGAAGCTCCCTATACATATATATATATATATATATATAAGTATGTTATAATATTATGAAGTAATGTCTGATTTGTCTACTGCAGGACATATATTGTTTGGATGCTGATGGTGCTCTTTTCGATGCTGCTTTGCTGTCAGCAGTTGCTGCCTTTTCTCACTGTAAGTGTTACAGCCATCCCATCATGTGGTATCCTGTACTGTCATTCTGTCCCTGTTTAAAGAGTTGGCTATGTAAAGTTCTGGTACTGCGAACACAACATATGGGATTACCATAGTTGCCCAAAGTCCAACATACCCCACCATTATGCACTTAGAGCCAGTATATTATTCAAACTATCAGCTTTTATACCAACCTAAATATATGCATAAAAGAAGGAAAGAGGAAAGATATGCATTTGAGAAAAACATCTGGAAATTAATCAAGTCCCATTGAAGCTTATGTTTATTTATAAATGCCTGTTTTAAATTCTCTCTGTGTGTGGATTGGCAAATCTTTTCTTTCTCAATATGAAATATAAAAACAAAACATTTTACATGCTATTTTAAATAATAATAAAAATACAATTGATTTGTAGAGTAAATCGAACTTGTAGAGCATTTTGGGTCATCCTATAATTAATTCAAGTTTTATTTTGGCACAGTAAAAATTATGCCCGTACTTCTGTTTGATTTTAGAAATTAGATTAAATCTATGTTTCTCTAATATTTACAATTCCATTTTGACATTTATTTTGCTGTTAAAAGGATTGTACTCCCTTAGTATGCTAGAAAAAGAAGTTTAATTTAGTTTTTTTTTTAAAGAACTGTAAGTCATGCTTAGAATTGTAATTGAACACTAGCTGTGTTGTTCAACATCGTTCTGGTCATATAACTTTCATGCCTTGCAGTGCAGATTCCTGTAGTTTCTATGAATGATGATGGGAAAGTAGTAGTTTTGTCTGGAGATCATGGAGGAAAGGAGCCAGTCAATAAAGGGAAGAGGAAACTCACATTAAGCAGTATTCCATTTTCATTAACATGCTTGCTTCATAAGAATTACATCTTGGCTGACCCTACCGCAGAGGAAGAGTCTGTAATGGAAACTCTTGTAACTGTGGTTTTGGATTCATCTGGTCAACTTGTGTCTCTTTACAAGCCAGGTGGACCTGTTCTTGCCTATACATCAGCTATCCAGGTCAGTTCTTAGTTTTCACCGTCAAGTTATTATTTTGATGGTACCCTGCAAATTACACATGGTAGGAGATTAAAACTACAAATTCCATAGTTTGTTCCTGCAGTCTATCTGCTCAACCATGATAACTGAAAGTAAAGAAGAAAATGTATATCACCATATTGGATGCTGGTTTTCATGTTTATATTACAGCCAGGACTAAGGTTTTAAAACTGTTTTTGACATCAATTCTGTGCCTCGATAGAAAAAATAGAAGAGGAAAAGAGTGTAAAGTTCCAATCCTTTTTTAGTTTGAAACAATAATCTAAAACTTGGTAACATTTAGACAACCTTTTAAATACTGGAGCTTTATAGGGAAAAGGTTTAACTTTTAAAGGCTTGAAACTTAGAAGAAATGCTCTCATGCTAAATTATGATCAAACTATCTGGGTGAGTTATTATTTTTTTGTTTTACATAATTGTTCCAGTTTGCAAACACAGAAAGATGAAAGTGGAGCGCTTTAGATAAACTTCATATTTTATCCTACATATTTTGTTGAATACGTTTTTTTTTTCAATCAAGTATTACTTCACCAAAATATGATAATAAGAACAAAACTGTGGCCTAAGAAAAGTACCAATGAAGTCTTGATTCAGATACTTAACAGGAAGGCTCTCTGTGGTGCAGGATTGTGTTGCACTGACTAGGCAAAGAGCGAGGGAGCTTCAAACGATCTTAGATGAAGTCACCTCCGGTATGGAGGTTGATTAGTTTTGTCCTTCATCTCCTAAGGGGATTGTGTTATTGGTTTACATCTTGGTTCTATATCCTTGTTTTGTGTTGAAAGTTGTTGCGCTGGAGGTTTCTGAAAGTTAGAAATACTAGTTTTATTTTTCTTTTTATATGTGGAACAGCTCTGCAATTTTGTTCATTTTTCACATTTTTAGAGCAATTAGCAGATGTGAGAATTCTGGTTTCTTGAAATTTTGATGCCTTGAGCTACTTTCAGCATGGGCAAAGCATCCCGTTGCAAAGCTTGCCGTGTGATACTCATTACTCACTACACGCATTGCAGATTGGTTAGAATCTAGAACTAAGGTTGTACTTGTCTTGTCTTGCCTCTTTCAAAAAGGATGTATGAAGGTTAATGTGTATTGATGGTGCTGGCTGCCTGGATGTAAGATTGATGCTGTTTTCATTGCTTATGTAACATGTTTCTTCTTTAGTCAAAGTTAGGAAGGAGGGGATTTTCTCACACTGTCAAAGTGTTACAAGGATTCAAACTTGAGACTGCAGTATGCAAGTTCAGGTCATTTTCCACTGGGTTAGACTCATTGGCGTGCTTCTTTAGTCACAAGAAGGGTAAAAAAATAAAAACAAGTTTTTGTTGTCTTTTTTAACCAAAAGTAACTTTTGAAAGATGAAAAGTAGAGGAGGAATTGGCGTCTCCGACCCAAAAATATGTGGCTTCAAGTTAAAGATGTGGAGGCAAACCATAGGTGCAATCATTGTCGCTTAGTATACGGGTCATGGAGATTGGAATCACAGTAAGCAAAACTGGATGAAAATTAAACCCAACGATATACAATCATGAAGCTGAAGCTTCTACTCAAAATTTTGATAGATCATGTAAAATGAATACAACTTTTTACTCTAGGTCAAACTATTTAATTGGTTATTGTTGCTTGCATTGTCATTCCTTATTCTTCCTTCCAAAAGCAAACAAAAGCTCAACTTTTTGCTACAAAAAATATAAATTAATGACAGTTGGTACACATAGCCTAATAAAATGCATTGTTTAATTTCTTCGAAGATATATATTTTTTCTTTTCTACCAGAATGGTTTGTTGCAAGATCTAAAGGACCTTAATGTATCATCGTCTTGTGCAGTTAATTTTACTAAGTGGGCTTGCATTTTACTGTGAACTTTCTGTCTTCAATCTTCAGTTTATGCTTTAACTGCATCAAGAAAGTATAAACCAGAAATGACATGGACATGGCTGAGATACTTGGTCCCATGGTTGTCACAGAAAAATTATCACCTCGTTTTTACAAAGAGACAAAATTGAATAGACAGAATTTTTACACGCCGATTGTGCAAAATTGTGCTTGTGCTTCGTTCAAGCAAAGGAAACAAGGAAGGGAATCTCTTTCTCTTTTTTCTCTCTCATCATCCACACTTTGCTCTCAAGCTCTTCATGGTACTTTTGGAAATCCATTCCAACCAATCAGAATGCGGCAAACTCCATCAGAATGACCAAAACAGATTAGATAACTACACTCTCATTGCCCCCTTCTTGATTCTCTGCCCCCAGCTCTTTCAAAACTATACCAAAATGAAACTCAACCTCAGAAATAACTTCACTCATAATTCATTGACTACCCATCGAGCCACGTGTCCCCAACTTCCACCACTGGCCATGAAAACCAACTGTTTCAGGGTCACTGGTGCCAAGTGTGCTCTTCTTCCCTCTGTTCTCCACACAAACTATAAAACAACAATCTTCAAAACCCCAAAGAAAAAGAAAGAATAAGACCTGAAACTCAAATTCAGGCACAAAACACAATCACAGAGAGAGCTCTGCTTCTCTCTCTCTCTCTCTCTCTCATTTTTCCACCCCTCAATTTTGAAACAGAGGAGGCTCAGGTTGTGAGATACAGCGGCTGATTAACAATGGCTTCTTTAGTATCTTCACCCTTCACCTTACCCAACACAAAAGCAGACCAGCTTTCTTCACTCTCCAGAAAGCAATACTTTCTTCACTCATTTCTCCCCAAAAAAGTCAACCAGAGCAGCTTAAAGTCCTCCCTCAAAGTGAAATGTGCAATGGGCAATGGCCTCTTCACCCAAACCACTCAGGAGGTCCGGCGTATTGTGCCAGAAAATAAGCAAGGCCTCCCTACTGTGAAAATTGTCTATGTGGTCTTGGAAGCACAGTACCAATCATCACTCACTGCAGCAGTGCAGGCTTTGAACAGCAACAGCAAGTATGCTTCTTTTGAAGTTGTGGGTTACTTAGTTGAAGAGCTTCGTGATGCAGAAACTTATAAAATGTTCTGCCAAGACCTTGAGGACGCCAACATCTTCATTGGGTCTTTGATTTTTGTTGAGGAGCTTGCTGTGAAGGTGAGGGATGCTGTGGAGAAAGAGAGGGACAGGCTTGATGCAGTTTTGGTGTTTCCTTCAATGCCTGAAGTGATGAGGCTCAACAAGTTGGGTTCTTTCAGCATGTCCCAGCTTGGGCAATCCAAGAGCCCCTTTTTCCAACTTTTCAAGAGGAAGAAGCAGTCTGCTGGCTTTGCTGACAGTATGCTCAAGCTTGTGAGGACTTTGCCTAAGGTGTTGAAATACTTGCCTAGTGATAAAGCTCAGGATGCTAGACTTTATATTCTCAGTTTGCAGTTTTGGCTAGGCGGGTCACCAGATAACTTGCAGAATTTCTTGAAAATGATATCTGGGTCTTATGTTCCTGCTCTGAAAGGCGAAAAGATTCCATATTCAGACCCAGTTCTGTTCTTGGATAGTGGAATTTGGCACCCTTTAGCACCTTGTATGTATGATGATGTGAAGGAGTACTTGAATTGGTATGGAACTAGGAAGGATGCTAATGAGAAGCTTAAGAGCCCGAATGCACCAGTAGTCGGGTTGATTTTGCAGAGGAGTCACATTGTTACTGGGGATGAAAGTCACTATGTGGCTGTGATCATGGAATTGGAGGCAAGAGGTGCTAAGGTGATACCAATTTTTGCTGGTGGGCTTGACTTTTCAGGGCCAGTTGAGAGGTTTCTGATTGATCCGGTTACTAAGAAACCGTTTATCCATTCTGCCATATCTCTTACTGGTTTTGCTCTTGTTGGGGGGCCAGCTAGACAGGATCATCCACGGGCTGTTGAGGCTCTGATGAAGCTTGACGTTCCATACATTGTCGCATTGCCTTTGGTATTCCAGACAACCGAGGAGTGGTTAAATAGCACTTTGGGGCTGCACCCAATTCAGGTAGCATTGCAAGTGGCTCTCCCAGAGCTGGATGGAGGCATGGAGCCCATTGTTTTTGCAGGCCGGGATCCTAGAACAGGTTGGTAAAGCTTTATTCTTTTATCATGCCTATAATTTATAACTAGCCTTCAGTTAGTACTTTGGAATGACTACTAAGAAGAAAGCTGGAAAGATAAAAGCCTTTTTGTATTTTGGAAATCAATGGAAAATGATTCAATAATGCTAACCAAACAGATTGATCTTCAAGTGCTTGAACTGAATTAGTGAACCAAAACTATGTACTGACTTTATTGCTTAGACAGTTATACTCCTACTAGCTTCCACTTTCTTTCTCCGTTCTGGTTGTCTCGATCTTCCTCCTTGTGTGAAGCCTTGCAGTCAAGATTTATTAAGGGTTGCTGAATATTGTAATGTGATTGCAGGGAAATCACATGCTCTTCACAAGAGGGTAGAACAGCTTTGCACCAGGGCAATCAGATGGGGTGAATTGAAAAGGAAGGCAAAGGTATTTACTTTTTGGGTCTTTTCTTATTTCTTCCTAAACCTAAAGTTGCTTCCAACACATGATAAGAAACTAAAAAGAACTTCTCTGCCTGTTATCTGGTAATGATTGATTCGGAGGGGTCGTATCAAGAATTTTTATAGACATGCAAACTTTAATATGCCATGTGTTTCATGCTTTGCTTTAGTCGTTGCTTAAGAGGTAAATATATTCTTAATAATGATGACCGAGAAGGTTTGAATAGGCCCATCAGTCTCATGCTTCAGTCATTGCTTAGAATCTTTTACTTTGGCTGGTAATGCATGCAGGAGTGCTAATTTGGATTGATTCTGGTGGCAAAAAGGGTCTTCCATTTTTCATACTAATAGAATGTTTGTCTTTGGCATGATGTCCTTGTTCTATGGTTATTCACTGAATAAAATTTGTATAGTTTTTCTGATCTCATCATGACAAGTATATGCACTGATGCAGGCTGAGAAGAAGCTAGCAATTACAGTCTTCAGTTTCCCTCCAGACAAAGGAAATGTTGGAACAGCTGCCTATCTGAATGTTTTTTCCTCCATCTTTGCGGTTTTGCAAGAACTCAAAAGAGATGGTTACAATGTTGAGAACCTTCCAGAGACTTCAGAAGCTTTGATCGAAGATGTAATTCATGATAAAGAGGCTCAATTCAGCAGCCCAAATCTGAATGTTGCTTACAAAATGGGGGTCCGTGAATATCAAAGTCTAACTCCATATGCTACTGCATTGGAGGAAAACTGGGGAAAACCTCCTGGGAACCTGAACTCTGATGGAGAGAATCTCTTAGTATATGGGAAACAGTACGGAAATGTCTTCATCGGAGTTCAGCCCACATTTGGGTACGAGGGTGATCCAATGAGGCTACTGTTCTCCAAATCAGCTAGCCCACATCACGGCTTTGCAGCATATTATTCATTTGTTGAAAAGATTTTCCAAGCTGATGCTGTACTACATTTTGGTACTCACGGTTCACTGGAATTCATGCCTGGAAAACAGGTGGGAATGAGTGATGCCTGTTTCCCAGACAGTCTGATTGGGAACATCCCCAATGTCTATTACTATGCTGCTAATAACCCATCTGAAGCTACCATAGCCAAGCGTCGGAGCTATGCCAACACCATCAGCTATCTGACTCCTCCTGCAGAAAATGCTGGGCTTTACAAAGGCCTTAAGCAATTAAGTGAGCTTATCTCCTCTTATCAATCCCTTAAAGACACAGGCCGTGGGTCACAGATTGTTAGCTCAATAATCAGCACAGCTAAGCAATGTAATCTTGATAAGGATGTAGAACTACCCGAGGAAGGGGTGGAAATCTCAGCAAAAGAACGAGATCTTGTGGTTGGAAAGGTGTATAACAAAATCATGGAGATTGAGTCCCGTCTATTGCCTTGTGGGCTTCATGTCATTGGTGAGCCTCCGACAGCCATGGAAGCTGTTGCAACTCTGGTTAACATTGCTGCACTGAACCGTCCAGAAGAAGGGATTACTTCCCTCCCAGATATATTAGCTGATAC